CATATCGATGTCAAATCAGAATAGTACATCGAGAGACTCCTCTCCCCCTGCTTGCAAGTAGAGGATTCAGCTTGCAATTGATATATCTTGACATAGTGTCTCTGCTCTGAATAGGTGGACTTCGCTTGTTCCCATATCTCACAAGTAGTTTCAACCCACATAAAAGTCTTCCTTACCTGTGGCAGCATGGAAACCAAGAGCCAAGACATCACCATACTATTCTCTTGGTTCCACCTATCATATTCAGCACTTCCGTACTTCGGTTCCTTTACTCTCCCATTGATGTATCCTATTTTCCCCCTAGCAGTGATATAGAGTTTTATTCCCCTATACCACTCAAGGTAGTCCAGACCATCAAAGGGAATAATAGCCATGGGAAAACTCATATCCACTCCCCCACTCACTCCATTGTGGCTCCTTGAAATCTCTGAAATAGCAGAATTCTCAGACGACATGGCCAAAAACAGACAATCAATCCCAAACACCGGACTTAGGACCCCTCCTTACTCCACAAAAAAATGCTCCACTCAATCCACACCCACACACTTGGGTTTGAAAACAGTCTGAGCACAAACAGTACCAATTTCAGGACAAAAAAAGGCAATATTCGATAGATTTCAGACCTGTACGATTTAACAGTCCCCACCTACCAACCTTCCAGAATGTCTAAGAACATTAATCAACAGGAGAGATCCTTAACACTTATAATGAAGCCAAATAATTGAGATAACAGGTCATCCTTGACCTACAATCGCCTTAACACAGGAACAGGATCACACGATCCCAAAAAAACAAAGGTATAAAGATCTGATAGCATTCAGCAGCCCAGATTCATTTGGTTTTTTCACTTGGTACATGACCAAGGAGGGTAAGGAGGAGAAAAAAGGAAGGATTGTACCAGTTGTAGATATGTTTTCCTCAGTCCAGATTCAGATCTTTGTTCCGCCCAGATTCAACAAGTTGGAAGAGTGAAGTCTGTTCGATCTGTTCGATCAGTGAAGTTTGTTCGATCTGTTCTCTCAGTCAGTATTCCCGCTCTAATACCATCTTGATAGTGTGGCCGGCCAAAAATAAGAGGAAGAGAAGAGAAGAGAAGAAGAAGAGAGAAGGGAGAAGAGAAGAGAAGGGATTGGCAATGTAACAATGCCGGCGGCGCCAGCTTTTATTATAATATATATAGGGCAGCAGAAATAACAAGGGAAAAGACCCTTGTGCCCCTGCTATAAGTGAGTACAATAACAGACATAACAGAAGTAAAAAAATAGAAATAAAAAACGCTTTAACTAGCCAAACAGACCCTAACACCAATAACTAAATTATTTCAACAAGAACCTAGGCCCAAGCCTGGAATTTCCAAGCCGGGCTTGTGTGGGCCAGGCTGAAATCATCACCCCCACCTGTAAAACAGCTATCAAGTTCAGATAACCCATTCTCCAAACCAATAGCCTTTACCTCACATACACCGATACACACTGTCAGCCAACAATGATTAAATTAAAACCCAATTACTTTCTACCAATCCCCTACTTTTAAAGTTCCAATCCATGAAATTTATCCTTAAGACAGATCCAGACTTTCTTCCAAGGAGGATCAATCACAGGGTTTTTCCTTGTCTGCTACCATTCCTAAAAAACTTTACTTTGCTACTACAGCTCTCAAGGATTTTTTCCTTGCTGTTTCAATGTATTATCGTTGTGACATTCAGTGAAGATTTTTACTAAATATGCTCACTTATTGCAGAAACCAAAACAAGACCACTTCTATAACCAGTATAATTGCAGCCTCGTCTGGTGCAATAAAGGCTGATGAAGTTGCTAAAAAGGTTGTAAATGGCATAAAACCTGGGAGATTCATTGTTCCTTGCAACCTTGCAGCTGCTGGTTTATCACCACATAGATCACCCCTGATGGCATTTATTGATGTGGTTTCTGCTGGTGTTCTACATACTACATATTGGAGCTCTGTTTTTCCAATGGAATTAGTATGGAAATATAGCAAGGTGGCATGCCCGAAAAACTAGTAAGTACTCTGCTGAAGAATGTCTCCCTTGGAGAGCGTGCCTTCTCTTTCTCTATTGCTGACCATTAATTCATCCAGCATAATGTGATAATTTTGTTCTCTAGTTCTATGCACATTTGACATTGTTAAATGGCAGATCACTATACATGTACGGTCTAATATGTTATAAAATATTAATTAAAGATTCATCTAACATTTGTTCAAGACAAAGGTTCATGATATTGCAATTTGATCATATAGATCTTTCACCATGGATATAATTTCAAAGTGTGTTTGTGCTTTTACTTACAATCTTATTCTAGCTGAATTTATTGCTCCCAATTTCCTATATTTGGTGCTTTTACTTACAAATTTGAGGGGAGGTTTATTTGGGGCTGGAATTAACAAAGAGGTAAAGAAAACAAGAAGAGTTTCAAGGAGAGAAAAAGAGGTTAGTTATGCAACCAGTGAAGGTGTGAAGGTCTGAAGTGAATGTGTTTTTCGAAGAGAGAAAAACAGGGGCGATGAAGTGGAGGGGACTTTGTTTGGGTGGACTGCTACGTTGTGCAAGGTAAAGATGTGAGGAGGGGTTAAGTTAGGAGTTTCATTTGTATGACCTTGGGCTCTGTTTGAGGGGGCTTCAAGATGTTGGTTGGCATTGTTTAAAATTAGGGGCGGCCCGGTTGTTTATGGGTTATGGGTGATGCCTTATCACCCTTTGTAATCCTTTCTCTTTATCTTTCTAATAAATTTTCTTCTTTATTTATCTTCAAGAAAAAAGGTTCTTGGAGTTGCTTTTTTATTTGTTTAGTTTTAGTATAATTTGTAAAGTATTAATAGCTAAATAAATGGAGCAAGTGTTTTTGGAAACTAGATGGAACTTGCACAGATGAATCATCCACACCACTGGATTATTCAAAAATAAGATTCTGACCTTTTATGGTTAATGATATTTCAACTTTCTAAAGCCTATTGGTTCAGTTTCACTTCTTTTCCCTTATCTTTTCTAGTTGTTTTCTTTATCTTAATAATGTTTCTTTGTTTTTTATTTGTTCTATCACAGTTTTGTATAGGTTTTGACTGGTCATTTGAAGCATTAAATTGTGAACAATCAATCCATGCAATTGTACATAAACGAGCAAAAGGAGACTTGAACCTGGCTTCAATAGGAACTAAATTGGGTCATTCAGTGCACGGGAACTAAATGCAAAATGTAAAGCATGGAAAAGAAAACGGTTATGCGAAAAGTGGCTGTCTAGAAGCTATTGAGGGGTCTAAATGGGAAATTTTCTAATAATTTGCAATCCAAGGTAACAGGTTTCACACCTTTCCATGGAGTGGAAAGGTGCTAAGCTCAGACATGGCCTCTATAATAGTTTGGTAGAAGTTTCAAGTTCTGGGAAGAGGAAAAAACCTGCAAAGAGCCTTTTCAGATCTTCACGACGAAATTTACCTATCCAAAGCTTCGATCTACACTCGACTTGAGAACTCTGAGAAACAGGGGCGATGAAAATAGTGGCACGACGAGAAACAGCGGCGTTGAAGCTAAGAGAAGAAACTTGCTTCAATGGCGGAACAGACAGAGAGTTGAGAGAACTGAGAAAGAATTTCGACCTACAATGGCAAAACAGCGGCGTTGAAACCCTAACAGCTTTCTACCCTGCCCTCGATTTGGTGACCAGTGGAACAGAGAACTGAGAGAGGAAACTTATGGCTTAATCTCCAATGGCGGAACAGATTCCAAGCCCTAATACCTAACAGCTTCAATGGTGGGACAGAGGACTGAGAAAAAAAATGAGAGAACTCTATTCGACTGTTCTGACTTCTGACTTGCAATGTTCTCTCTCGACCCAACTGACCCTGGCAGGTGATGGAATCTGAAGGTGCGGTGGTGCCGATTCGATTCAAGGATTTCCTAAATGGAGCTCTTCGCTCGAACAATCAATTGGATTGGAGGATCCGAGCTACCTTGGAGCAGCGACGGCCTCCTGTCCTTCGCAGCTTCTCTGATGGGGAAGCTAGGGGTTTTGTGAAATATCTGTGATACTGTGACGCACTGGATCACTACCTCGAGAGGAAAGGCACTAAATGGCGGGAACGATGAGAGAGAACAAGCGATGAAGGTTTATTTGGCGGGAAACTTTGTGAGAGGTTTGTTGTCCACACCAGCGCACCTCACACCGACCTTACACCCCTATGATATGCCTGTGAGGTCGGTGTGAGGTGCGCTTAATGAGAGCATATCCCAATTCGTTTGTTGGATGTTGAATCTGAATACGTGTACCAGTATTTATAAAAAGGGGCAAATTTCTTAAAGTATTCTTATGATTTTAAGTTAATTAATTAATTCTACCCCTATTGTTTCACTGTTTATCTTAAAGTACCATTGTTTCTAACAATTGGCTAACTCTACCCCTGTTATTAACGTACGTTAATGTTCCGTCAAAATCCGAACACATACAAATATTTTTAAAACCCAATACTCTCTCTCTCTTCCCTTTCAACTTTCTCGCAAAGAGATGGAGCCACCGGCTTCAACTCTGTTTTCCGAGAACGGCAATTGAAAACCTAGACCATCCTCTAAAAGCCTCAAAAGCACAACATCTCCCACCTTCGACTTTCTCACTCCTTCAACAGCTTCATCTTCAAACACAAATAAAAACAATCAATCAATGCATCTTCTCAAAAAGTTCAAATCCATAGAAAGAAAGCATCCATTTATTACATTTTCGTCGAGAGAAACCCTCAACCATGCAGCCATTTTCTAAAGCGCATGTTCAAGCTGCGAGACCTTCTCCTCCAACTCAAATATTAGTCGGTCCTTTTCCGATATCTTATGCCGCAACCGCCCTATCTCGGATTCAAGCTTCAACACCCGAGACACAATCGCCGGATCTTTCGCGCCAAGTCAAGCTAGTCATATGGATCCGTTGGAATAATAGACAATATCTCATTGGGCAAATGGAAATCCGTCCTGCCCCACTGCTCTGCGTCATCTCCCTTGCTGTCAAACCCTAAACTCTCCAAATCCCACAAACAGAAACCGAAAGAAAACCCTTTATTAAAAAAGGGAAAAAGGAAAACTAGTTGTCAGAAAAAAAGTCCATTGAAGGAAGAGAACCAGAATCAACAAGTTGCAGATAAATTACTCACAGAACTCACGACTTTAGATGAAACTATAACGAGCGCTCTCTCTCTCTCTCTCCTTCTGGGCTATTCTCCTTGAGAGTTGTCGCTGCCTCTATGAATTAGGGCATCAGTTTGTTTTCTCACAAGTTTGTTCTGCTTCAACTTTGTTCGCTCATACCAACGGTGGAATTGGTTCGCACGCCAAAGCCAAGGTACTCCCATTATACACCTAAACCAGGAAACCTGATTCAAAGTTTGCCCCAGCACAACAAACCAGCTGGCTTGAAGGAAAGAAGAAGTCTCGGTGGTAAAATATAAGAATTTTCCCACTTTTTAGTATTAAAAAAGTTATGTTTAAATTATAAAATATTAATATATACCTATGGTCGGGTCAAGTCAATTTGGGTCGACTCACAAATGCCCAAACCAATACTAACTCGATCCAGTGAGGTTGGGAAGTTGTTGAACCAAAGCCAATCAGAAATACTAGAAAATCAATCAACTTGGGTCAAGTTGAGTTACGTTGGTTGGCTTGGTCAGTTTCATCAATTTAATGAAGAGCCTTAACTAGTTTTGGTCGGTTTTCAATTTGGTCGATCAGGTTCACAAGATTTAAACTTAAAAGGTTAAATTGAAATTTAAAAAATTATAGTGGGGTTGTTAAAATTGTAAATTTACAATGTAAAATATTTTAGATTAATAAATATAGGAACTTTTCCACTTTCATTATTAACATACATACATATATATGGTCAGGTCGGTTTACAAATGGCCAAACTAAAACTGCCCCGACTTGGTTGTGTTGAGAAATTGTTGAACCAAAGCCAATCAGAAATACTAGAAAAACGACCAACTCAAGAGGTCGAGTTGGGTCAGGTTGGTCGGTTTCATCAATTTGACGAAGAGCCCTAGTTGAAATTGATTTTTATTATTTTTGTATTTTAAAAAAGTATTAAAAATAGTATATAAAATATAAATAGTTATTAATTATTTAAAAGTTAAAATATAAAACAATTATCTACTCTTATATGTTTCTATTATTTAGCTTCCGCTTAACAAAACCCGTGCATCGCATAAATCCTTGCTAGTATAACATATATGATAGAAATAACTCCAAGGTGCCAACCAGTTGGTTGGTAAAGTCCCTTGCTAGTTGTAGCTGAGACTTGGGATCAAATCCAACTTGCACCTAGGTTGGGGGGTTTATGGGTTTGAGGGATGGGCTACCCATATATCTTTGTATAGCCCCTTTGGAACTGGAAAAAAAAAACAAAAAACAAAACAAAAACAAAAAATAAAACAAAAGAAAAAGAAAAATCTTGCTGTGAAAAGGAAAATGGATTATGTAAAGAGACAACAATTACATATGAAAAGTCGAATAGTGAAAATATATTAAGTCTAGAAGAAGGATAGTTTTTAGATATCGAGGAAAGAAAATGTCTTCTCTACGGCATGATAAAGACAGTCCTAACAAAACTGCGAATCACAAGAAAGAACTTCTAAGATTAAAAGACTTATACCCATTCAATCAAATAATGGAGAAAGCCTGAAAATAAATTGTTAAACTTCCAACAATAGATTATTTGAAACAAGGTTTTTAAAACCGAATAAGACAACGAACCGTTTAGGGGTATGGTTCCTGGATCGGACCATTCAGACAAAAGAAATAAAAAATAGAAAAAATAGAAAAAGGCCAAAAACCAATGGACAGTTCGAACGGTTTGAATGGTTCAACCGCTTGGGTTAATGGTTTGTTGACCAAATCAATGGTTCTGGGGTAAAGGATAATTGGTCAGATGATCGGTTCCTAGGTTTTCTAGTCGGGTCTGGTTTTGAAAACCATGATTTGAAAGATGAAATACATGCCCTTAAACGGGAAATACAACACTTAAAAAAAAGAGAGTATAATATTTAAAAATTCCTAATAGAGGTATGGCCTCACGAGAAGCTACAAAGGATGGAACAATTGAACCCATTGAATTTGTGGGAGAAGATGCATAGTTTGTTTATTCTATTGAAGAGGTCAAATATAAAAATGGTACTCAAAGATTTTTATAAAGGTAAAAGATTTTAGTCTTACCACCATAGCCTTAATAAATCCAAGCACAAATATAAACTGCATAAAAGAATGTATTGTTCCCTACTTGAAAACTAGGCATTAGATCCAAAATCCTCAATGCCCATATCTTCAAGCAAAGGACCTACTTGAAAACTACATTCCTTGTGGTTAAGGGACTAAAGAAATAAGTGATTATAGGAACTCCCTTTAGTTGGTAATTTTGCTATATCAGATAGATTATTCTAGCATTACCACTACAATAGGAGAGATAAAAGTTACTTATGAATTTTGCCAAAAACCCAGATTATCTATCTTAAATGCTTTAAAATAAAACTTAAAAGGTAAATTTTATTATTGAATTACAAGCATAATTAAAAAATGACAAGTCTCTAAAACCCTTATGCTATGTTTAGTTTTAAGGAAAATGTAGGGAAAGGAAGAGAAAGATAGAGAAACCTATATATGATTTGTAAAGGGATCCAAAACTGCAATTGGAAAATTGAAAACTTTCAAAAAGAAATGGAAAAGGAAATACGTGCATGCACTAGGAGAAACATACAAATACAATTGAGCTTCCCTCTGAAGAAGGATATGACAAAGCCAAAATTCCCACTAAACTTAAACTATTTAAAGGAATCCATTGGAAACATACAAAGGTCTAATAAGGCCAAGTAAATCTCCTTGAAAATGCAACCGAAATAAAAAGAGGAGTTTCAAGACTAGTAATTAACTATAAATCGTTAAGCAAAACATTAAAATGGATTAGATACCCTATTCTTAATAAATATTATCTAATAAATAGATTATACAATGCATCAATTTTTTCTAAATTTGATTTAAAGTCAATATATTAGCAAATTCAAATAGAAGAAAAAGATGTATAAAACCACCTTTACAATTCTTGCAACACTACGAAAGAAAGTGGTTTAGTTGTTTCGAATAGTTGATGTAGGCGCATTTGGTTGGCCTGTATAGGGTTGACGCATGTTGAATAGAGGGCACCAGCATATGCTCGCCATGAGGACGCTCGGGGTTACCCGATGCAGACCAGGCGGACCCAACCGCAGGGCGCCGCGTCGCTCTGGCAAGGGATCTTGCCAGGCCCTCGTATAGCTTGCATTTAGACCATCCGAGCCCAACTGCCCCTTGGCAGCTCCGATTATAAATACAAGGCACCTCCCACAAGGTAGAGGATTTGAAACCTTTGTGATCTCTAGTGCTCTCTCCTCTAAGGACATAGCGCTATCTGAGACCTCGTTTGTACCCCTCTGCTCTAGACTCACTACTTACCTTGTGAATATACTAACTTGACCGTCGGAGCCTTTGCCTCGGGTTCCCATCCGAGGTCATTGACACCTTCTCCCATGCAGATTCACTACCGCGGGAGCCATATCTCGTTTATCCTCGACAGCCCTTCTTAGTACTAGCCCTCGGCCTCTACAGTATTCGAAGGATCAATCCGCCTTGGCCCGTCTCCTCCGGACCCTCAAAGCCTTCGACCCTCCTTCGAAGCTTGGGAGTGATTTTACTTTGTTGCCCTCGACTAATCCGAGCATCAATAATTGGCGCCATCTGTGGGAACCATCGCTAAGACAATCCCATCTAACTTAAACTTTGAAACTCTTGAGCATCGATCGCCATGGTATGAAAAGCCAAGAACCCCTAGAACTTGGTCACAAATGAACAGTTTCAGGCGGTCATCGACTGTTTGGAATACCTCACGCAGCGTGTGGAACAAGTCTGCCTCTAGGCAGGAGGTCCCTCCCGATGGGCCGAGCCTGTTGAGTCCGGCAGCAGCCGACCCGCCAGCCTAACACAAAGGAATGAAAGACCTTCCAACTGAAGGGAGGAAGAGCCAGCGCGGTCTCAAGACAACCGCCAGCCCTCTAAACAACACCACCGCCACATGAGGGAGAATCCCCGGGACAAAGGCGGGCACCTCAGCCATCGTAGCGCCCACTCAAGGGCCGAGGGATGACATTG